ATTCTAAGAACTTTTTTTTAAAAAGAAAAAATTATGCTAAGAAATTTTTTAAAAAAAATTATGCTAAGAACTTAAATATTAAAATTTTTTTTTTTAAATAAAAACTTTTTTTATATCCTTTTAAAAAGGAACATTGGAAAGCATATTTTAAAACTTAAATTTAGAATAGTTTTTTATTTTATACTTTACCGATTAAATATTTTTGAGGCTTTATATGAAATACTTTAATGGGTTTCGAATGGGAATGTTTAGAGACTCTCATTTAACCAAGAAAAGCTCCAAATCTTCTTACAATATTAGGTGCACCTATTATAAAATATGTGTATAAGATTAAATATAATCACTTTTTTGTTAAATTCTGTTCAAGATTTTTGCTTTTATCTATCGTTATCATTATCGTTATCATTATCGTTATCATTATTGCTGATGGCTAAAATTATATACGTCATCAGGCCCGTAGGCCATGTAGATCAATTGTCTGCGGGTCAGATCAGGTCATCTCATGGCCCATGCGGGCCTAACCCATGACCAACCTGACCCGGCCTGTGTGAATACTAATTAACAGTCCCTGCTGTTTATGCTACTAAAACGGACATGATCGATGGCGTTCCGATTGATAATCGTGCCCCAAAAAACTAGTTTGGATGCATGCATGCATTTGCCCTATGATTGAATGAAATTGACAAGACGTGTGCACAAATCGGGCATGGATCGAATACATGATGTCAATGAGGTTTCAAAGTGATACGTAGTGAACAATCAGGTGTTAGAAATTGGTGAGAAAAACCTAAAGAATACGTACTGTACGTTGTGAGAGTGAAAATTCGTAAGGTCGAAATTGAGGTGGTTCAGTCGATCTAACCAAAATTAGTTGGAATCTGCTAAAACTGCTATAATGACTATATCAACCAGAAATAGCAGATATAGCATATCTGCCAGATATAGCAGATCTACCAGAAATAGCCGATATAGTAGAAATAGCAGTTATGGTTGTAATGGCAGAAAAATCTGTAGTAAATTAGTATAGTGTAATATGTATTTAAACACAAGTATTTCGCTGTAAATAAAAGATAACTCGGTGGAGTTCGAAGTTCGAAGTTAAAGAAATTAGAGTATTTAACTTGTGAGTAGTAAGACCTTTAAGTAGAAGTGTTTGTTCTACTAATTCCCCCCGATAAGTAAACCTATAATAACGATTGGAAGTCGTGACCAAATCCCGTGATTCTGTATGAAGAAATTCGTGACGTAGTCTAGAGCTCAAATTGACCCTATTCTCGGACCAAATCAATCTACGCCTCAATCGAAGCCTGCCAATTAGAGTGTAAAGGAAAGATTTTGTAGCTTTAGTAGATTTTGTGTTGATTTTAGAGTCAAAGCAACCCCATTTTAGCTTAGTTTTTATTGTCATACCGTTTTACACTGTCACAACGTACTGTACGCGAAAATATTGGGCTATCATATAAACGGCACATCACTAGGCTTGAGGCGATGCTTCATTGAAGAACAATAGTAAGACGCCTCTAATATTCAATGGTAGGTACTAGTGTTGTTAGGCAAAACCTAGAGGTTTTGCCATTGGCAAAAGTCAAAACTAGTTTTGACTTTTGCCAAAAAAAAATTAAAATGACAAAATGGCAAAACTGGCAAAACTGCTAAAAATGAAAAACTGAAAACAATAATAAAATTAGTAAAAAAGTAAAAAAAGAAACTAGTAAAGAAACAAGAATAGAAAAGTAATTAAAAATATTTAAAATCATTTTATCTAATTATCAATCTTATTATTAATGTCCTACCTAGATAACCTACCTACAGATGCTCAGATTTGGATTTTAGAATAAATATAATTACTACTTCTAGCATAGACTTTTACCGACAGGTTATAATCTCGACAAAAAAATCCCGATCCCAGCAATCAAAAATCCTGAATATGAGGTATGTTTAAAGCGAAGTAGCCTCTTATAATTTAATTAACTTTAGGGTTAGGTCACTTTAGATAAGAATTATCTTATTTTCATAATTGTCGGGATTTATCTGTCACTTTTTTGGCTGTCGGGATTTTTTTGTCAGGATTATGACCTGTCGGGATTTCGCTTGTCAGGATTTTGACCCATAGCCTTTTTACCCAACCTAATATTTAATTACAACCTAACAGAAATTTATTTTGTCACGTATATGTGCATAATCATGCTGCTATATACATGTTTTTTGATTAATAATCTAAATATTACTATATTTGATCTATTATAAGTCAATAATACAACAGTTATTTCTTTAAAGTTAGCTCTGAGATTTAGAATAGAGCATCGGGAAATAATTGTCAATAATAATATTGTTAACAAATTACTTACATATGTATAATATTTAATAAAATTTTAACAATAAATGTTAAAAAGAAAAAATCTTAACACTATGACAATAAATTATTTAAATATTAAGATAAGTTTATTTTACATGAATAAATTAATACATAGATAGCGCTATTAAAAGAAAGCAGGATTTCATGCTTTGAATTTTCAAGGTTGAATTTATTTATTATAAGTTCAAAAGCCTGAAGTCTAGTTTTTTTTAATAGTACTCGAATACAAACAAAAGGCTATCGCTTTGTTTATTGTTTTGTATATTATAAATTACATGCTGTGCTTAATAGGCATACGAAAAATATTTTAATTTACCAACATGGCTTAGCATTAGTCTTTCTAAAGTCTAAGAGGATTTGATCTTCGCTGTGTTTAACTTCTCCAGGGGTTTTAGCTTTACCGAGGTTTTGCCAGAGTTTCGCCGTTTTGCCATAGTTTCGCCGTTTCACCAGAGTTTTGCCAGTTTTGACTTTTGCCGGGTTTAGTTTCGACTTTTGCCATTTGCCAAAAATAGTTTTGCCTAACAACAGTAGTTGCAGATTGAACTTACTGTTTTTACAATCAAATTATCGAGTACACTATAAATTAGACTGATTTACACACACCAATCAGAGATCTATCGACAAAATATCTTATAAAAGGTTACAATTTTTTTTTTTTACGGTATGGCAGTATTGACTATCTCTCCTACTTTTAGATATCAGGATTCTGATAATGCAAAGGAATTACTTGCAAACCTCAGCGGTACCGATAAAGAAAACCGAAGATGGGTTGCTCGGGAAATTCAAAACGTTGATATACAAAATTATGAAAAGTTATTAAGTGACAAAGCAGTTGTGAAATATTTCAGTCTAGAAAGGCCATGGACGAGTGATGGAATTAAGGCTCGATTAAAGAATTGGGAAAACCGTTATAAGGAAGGGCATCCACATGGTGCACTTACTATATTTGATGAACAAAATCATTTTATTGGATATATTATAGCCGGGGAAGGAAATGAAGAGGGTGTTTCTGAAGTAGCTTATGTATTATCTCATGAATATTGGAATAGAGGTATTGGTCAATCAGCTTTAAGTAAAATTGTTGATGATTGGGGCACAGAAGTGCGTAAAATTGGTTTAGGTAAAGGAATTGAGAAATTGGGTAAACAACATCAAATGGTCGAAAAAAGATTCCAATGTTTTAAAAAAAAAGCATTAAAACAGTTTTACGCTTCGGTTAGACCTATTAACATTCCATCCTGGCATATTCTTGAGAAAGTTGGTTTTACATATGCGAAATCTGCGGTAGAAAATGCTGATGATCCAATTGATTTTAATATTAAAGGTTTTGATTTACCTTCGTTAGATCATTACAGTCAACTTGAATCTTTCATTGAAGAACTTTACAAAAAGCAGGAGATAAAAGTTGATAAGCGCTATTTTATGATTAATGATAATGATAAAATATATACGTTTAATAGAATGTCCGACGGTAAAATAAGATTTCATTATGAAAAAGAAATTTGTTAAGCTTTAGAATAGAATAAAAACCTATATAATTGCATAACAAATTATAATAAACTAATAAGAGTCGTTCTTTAAAGGTTAATTTTGTACTTAAAAGATCTTTTTTAAAACTTTAGTGTAACAAGCCGCTTAATATGTTTTCAAAAAGTTGGAGATATAAATATAAATTGAGGTAATTTGAATATTGAGAGAGCTGTAGTGATTTGTTTTATGATATTCTTATTCAAGAGATTTATTAGATTTATTTCGAAAAAGTAATAATATATAACATGAAGTACAAACAATACGTAATTATGTTTATGGCGTTGTCTTTGTGAGAATTTGTGGTAAAAAGTAAACTGACTTATTTTATAATACTACCTAAACAATATGGATAACGTTAGGATATTTTGAACCGATTTGTTTTTTAAAAAAGTTGACAACTGGAGTTTGATTCTGATTCATTATCTAATTCATCCTCTGATTCTTCTGTAAGATAGTTATTTCGTTGGAATTTAAATTATTGAAAATTAAAAAAAAAACAAATAGGATAAAGTACTGCAAATAAGCATACCGTAATCAGGAACTGATAATTCCAACTGGGCACTATCAACTATTTGAAATAAAGAAAAATGTAAATAGTCAATTTTTCAGATCAATAGCATAAATTTCATTTAGGTAAACTAGATAAAATGATCTTATACATATTTTCATTTCTTTAAAAGATGAAAAGAGTATATCTCTTAACATTTTATTTAGTTAAACCAATTTTAACAATAAAATATCCATTTAGAAAATGCTTTATTCTCACCTCTTGAGGCATTCTTTGGCTCTGAAATATTTGTCAAAGTGTGAAGACCACTAAAACATCTTCTTGATACAATTTTGTCTTTAACTAATTTGGTAGAGCTTGGATTTATTCCAAGAAAATCTTCCTCCAACATTCCATTATCTTTAGCCTCAATAAGTTTCATTCTAAGTTCTCGAATTTTTTTCCAAACCGTTAAAACGTCAGGTCTATTTTCTGGAGTTGCATTCCAGCATTGCTCCATTAAAGTCGCATATTTTTGTGGAATATTAAGATCTATTTTGGGGCGCATTCCTTTAACGATAGCTGATGCTAAATCAATATCATGTTTTTTATTCATATAAGGTGGTACACCTGCTGCAATTTCCCACATAATAATCGCCAGACTGTAAATATCTGACATTTTAGTATAGGGCATTCTACACAAAATTTCCGGTGCAATATATGGAAGATTTCCGTATATACAATCTAATGGTTTATTAACAGGGCCACAAAATCCTAGATCGCTAATATAAAGTGCTAAAGTTTGTCGAATTAAAATATTACCGGAATGTAAATCTCTATGAACATGATCCTTTCTATGAATTTCATTTAAGCAGGAAACGATCTCATAAAGAATGTCATATCTTTGTTCCCAGGTGATTGTGGAATTATTTTCAAGTAGAAAATTTCGTAAATTAGTCATCATATATCTTAAAACAAGCATAAAATTGCCAGTATTCGGATCTTTTGTTAATCCATGGCAAGGAACAAGATATTGAGCAATTTTATCAATTGTGAAATGGTGTAAAGCCTAAATATAAATCATTACAGTAATAAATTTATTAAAATACTGTATATAATCATTATATATTACGTAAATAAACGAAAGAACTTAGTCTTACTTCATCAAACCAATCAAGGTTATTCTTATCCTTATCAGAGCTATTTAACATTTTCAAAATAACCAACTGTTTACCATATCTTAACAATTTTTTTGATTTATTATCCCAAGTATCATAACAACCATCTTTCCAAACTGCTTTATAAATGGTAGCACAGCCACCTTGAGTAAAATATTCGATATCTTCAAGATTTTCATACGGAATCCACTCAATAATTTGGTAAGAACAGAGAGCATTTTTTTGAGCGTCTTGAATTGCTTGATCAATTTTTTCGTCACCACAAGTCCATTTTTGTATTTTCAAATAATCGTGAATGCATTTCTCACAGTTCTGAATAGAATAAGTCAAATTATGACAATCATCACATCGCCTAGATTTGCCAGCTTTATTTATTAGATTAAATTTTTCTTGATATTCTCCAAGCTTAGTAAGTAAATACGTTTTTTCACTTTCATTAAAAGATTTATCATTTTTAAATTTATTTTGAAGAAAGTCACAACGTTGATCGAGCTTTGAATTATCCAACTCTAACGATCTCCAAGCACTGCGATAATATTTGTTTAATCTTGGTATATCTAAATCATTATTATCTCTTAATACGGTTATATCAATTTCCTTGTTAGTTTCCATCCTAAAATTATAAAAACATTAATCAAAAATATAAGAGTTGTATGTACAGCATATTTTATGAATTGGATACCTTAAACTACGAAAAAGTTAAAGAAATAATATCTAATGGTCAAATTATTTTAATAAAATAAGTGCGTATGTATGTCAACATATCATATATTTTGAATAACCAAAATCATAATATTTATATTCGAAACGATCAATATAATAAAATTATCGCCTTCACGAGTGTCCTGTACATTTTCACCAATCATTTCGATCATATGAAATAAGTTCATTGGTTACCTTTGAATTGGTATACGCACACTTGTATAGTAATAGTACTTGATAATCCAAAATCTGTAACAGGTAATTATTACGATAAATGACAAATATGTCTAAACCATCTAATTCAGAGTTTTTGTCCGATTAAACGTTTTTGATTGGTTACCTTTGAATTGGTATACGCACAGTTGTATAGTAATAGCACTTAATAATCCAAAATCTGTAACAGGTAATTATTACGAACGATAAATGACAAATATCGATATGTCTAAACCATTAATTCAGAGTTTTTATCCGATTAAACGTTTTTGATTGGTTACCTTTGAATTGGTATACGCACACTTGTATAGTAATAGTACTTGATAATCCAAAATCTGTAACAGGTAATTATTACGAGGTTTACGATAAATGACAAATATGTCTAAACCATCTAATTCAGAGTTTGTCCGATTAAACGTTTTTGATTGATTACCTTGGAATTGGTATACACACAGTTGTATAGTAATAATGTACTTGATAATCCAAAATCAGTAACAATTATTACGATGTTTACGATAAATGACAAATATGTAACTATTCCGACATTCTTGATCGTCCGCATGATTGTCAAATTTGTGCTATTACGACATTCAAATCTAATTTTAATATGTGAAATTGAGGCATTGCAAATTAAGGATAAATCGTTGCAAATTGATTACATTAATTAAACAATTTAGGTTCTAATCTATATAAATTTAAGCGAAAAAGTTGTGTATTTTAACGTTTTTGATTGGTCGTTACGAGATACGATATATTCAGGTTATTTGATAAATTGGGTTATCACTATAATTATGACATGATTAGTAATCAAACCTAGATCAGCAAACTATAGAATTTATATATTGCAGATTTTTTACATTACACTGATCGATTATACTGTATACATGTTCTACGTCGATCACAAAATTTGGAGTTCCCTAGCCATGGCGAAGAAAAATGTCCGGATCACGTGTTGTAGATCATTTGTAATACAATCCGAACCAATCATATTACTGTATTTTACCGTATAATTATTTTATAAACTAAAAATAGCAAAACAGGTTTATACCGGTTTTTTCCCGGTACAAATCAAGGGTGTATCGATTAAAATATGGTAGATAATGCTTTTACAACGGTATCAATCTTTTTTTGTTTCATGAAATTTTTGTAATATATTCCTGCTTAGAACGCTTAAAGACTATAATTTTTAAATCCTGCACTTTATTCTGAATTTAGATAATATATTTCTGCTTAGAACGCTTTAAGATTATAATTTTTAAATCCTGCACTTTATTCTGAATTTATATAGTACTTATGATAAAAATAAATATGAATAATACTTTATACTGTATCAATTTCACTAAGTTATTCTAAATAAAAATAAAATTATATTAGCACAACCAAAATGCAAGCTTTGAATTATTTAATGTCCAAGATTTTTGTTGGTGAGAACTTTGTAATACTTCTTCACATTTATCAATTTCTTTCAAAAAGGTCATTACTAGAGTGTCAAAATTGGCTATAAATTTGTCATTGTTTAACTCGCATTCATACAAGGTCAGAGCTATTTCAAATTTTTTTTTATAATGTATATATTTTTCTTGTCTTTTTCAATTATATCATGGCGTGTTTCTACTAATATATTCAGTAAGTTTTGTAAATTGTTACTACTCTTCTCAATAGGATTGTCTTCTGCTAATGTCATGCCAAACCAGATCCATGGATTATTCATAGGAGTGATTGGTGGTAACTCATTTTTGTCAAAAACAAATAAAGGGTAATTATGTCATCTTGATTTCTTTGAAAATTTAGATATAAATTCTTTTCTATTTTTTTGTTAACAAGTTGTTTACAGAGATGATAAAGACTGTGAATATATGCTAAGCAAGAACATACCAAGTTATTAACATTAATATAATATCTTTTATTTGCATCAGGCTAGATTTCTGCTTTTGTAGCCTTGATATATTCTGCTTTAAACTTATGTTACCACAATGGAAAAATTCTATTTCCACTATATTGTGCCAATTTAATTTCGAAGTCTGGAACAAGCTGCTCAGTTATTATTTGAGTAAGTTAATCTATACAAAGGTGATTATAGTTATATTTATAGTTATATTTTAAAACTCATCAATAGTTTTCAGTGATTATTGTTGTGCATACAAAAGGTATAGCCTGTGAATATAAAGACTAAGCAAATAGCTTCCAGTATTTTTCATTTACCAATTGGTCCACAAATAACCCCATAGTTTATTAAGATTATTCAAATGTCAAAATTGATATATTTCTTCAACACAGAAATGGTAAATCTCTTGTGAAATTATAAAAGACTTCTTGGTTACTGAAATAAGCAAATGCATGTTGCATATTTTTTAACCAACTCTAAAAGTTGTTTAATTAGGTGATCCAAACAGAGAAATCTAGCACTACTATGACCCATAATGGGTCTATAAACTTGAACTTATAGTAAGCTTTCAATGCTTTATTCGATGAATATATGCTTGTTTTAATCTTTTTTTCTTTAATCTTTTTGTCAATAGCTTGCTTGACATACCAGTGGCAGAGTTGAATGTTAGCTATGAATGACCAAGCCTTCTGAGCTGCTGATATTTTACCTGCATTTTTGTCTATTAAAATAAATACTGGAAACAACCCTTCTTGTTTAAGACTTGCAAAAAACATTTGTATTACTTCTACTCAAGTGTTTCTAGAGTTATGCTGAGATTTTTTACTATCACCTAACATAGTAAGATACAAATATACTACTGGCATGCTATATCCACCACAATTTAAATTCACTATAAAGAGTTTAAATTGTTTTTGATTAGTCTTGAAGATAGAATCTACAATTATTTTAGTAGACTTATTAGTTTCAACAAGCTTAAAGAGTGGTGTAAGAAAACTTAAAGTTGTACAAAATCATTTTCTAGGTAATTTAGAACTTTAAACTCTTTATTATTCAAGATTGGTTGTTCAAGATATAATTTTGCTAATAAAAGAGAATTTTCTTAATTTTTTATATAGGTTTCCTTATTAAGTACAGATACTCAGTAGTATACTTGCTCAGTGGTATGAATCTTTGGATTAATTAGTTTATCTGTATAAAGTCAGCAATAACTTTCTGTACTTCATAAATTATATAAATTAATGTTATTTTGAATTTATTCTTTTGTACTTATAGGAAATTTAAATTGATGATATGTTGGATTCTCATGTGCTATAATATAATATCCTTGTATAAGAATATATTTATTTTCTAAGATTATGGTAAGTTTGATTTTTCTCATATAATTATATCTATTTATTGGGGCTCTGGCTTCACTATGCTGTTTAAGTGTCTGGTTATTTGGCCTTATTCAGACTCTATCATCTCATATTGTATAGCAAAGATGTACTGTAGCAGAGCTAATGAATTTTTTTTTACAGCTTTTTAGCTATATTTTTCTTATTTCCTAATAATAGCTAGAGTTATAGTTTAGTGGTATAGTAAGTATTTTAACAAGCTAGTTGAATCTCTCTTTAATTATTTTTAAATTATTTGTATTAACTAAATCTTGTTGAGTTAAAGCGACAGTATTAATCAGATCTTCATCTAATTCGATCACAAAGACAAATTTTACTAACTTATTAGATTCTTTTACACCCTCAAATAACTTTAAAGTAATTCATATACTTTATTTAAATTATATAGGAGTACTTTGGAATTATTATTATCTTTATCCTTCTGATTGTTATCTTTATCTTGATCACTATCTTTATCCTAATTACTATCTTTATCCGTGTTGCTATCTTTATCCTAATCACTATCTTTATTTTTCTAGTTGTTATCTTCAGTATTAAAACTCTTATATGGTGATACTTCTAGAAGATCATTAGTAAGATTTATGTCCTCGATTATTTATAAATCACTGCTTGTACTTGAGGTATAAGTAATATTGCTACTACTTTGGGCTATTTTTTAATTTTTTGATGTATTGATTTTTTTTCTTACTGTTTATTCTTTATTCTCTCAGAACATTTATTACATGTAGCATGTTCATGTTGCAATTTGGTAGCTGTAGGGTGACACAAATAGATAATTTCTTTTGTTACATGACAGCTACTACATAATTTTTCAGCAACGTTTTGAGTAAAGTCTTGAGTAAAGTCTAGAGTAAGGTCTTGAGTAAGGTCTTGAGTAAGATCTTGAGTAAGATCTTGAGTAAAATCTTGAATAAGATCTTGAGTAAGATCTTGAGTAAGATTTTGAGTAAGATCTTGAGTAAGGTCTTAAGTAAAGTTTTGAGTAAGGTCTTGAATAAAGTTTTGAGTAAGATTTTGAATAAGGTCTTGAGTAAGGTTTTGATTAGACATTATATGAGAGTTGACAAAGTAATTTATTCTCTTTGAATATTGGATTTGTATAATATTATACAATAGTTTTACAAAAACTGAATTATACGGGACTTTATTTTTAATTATTTTATTCTGCAAAAAAATTACGATACTAATTTATTTTATATTTTATAGAAAATTGAAACTAAGTAACTTTATTATATAATTACTGTATTGTTAAGCAAAAATTACAAATATCATGTTTGACTACCTTTTTTGTAATGTAATTCTTTAATCACTATACACTTATTGCATAATTGCTATCTAATTTATCATTATTTCGCAAATACTAATTTCTATTACTGTATTATTTTTCATACATCATTCTTAATATTTACATATAATGATTAAAATTTTAATTTAACACATCATAATCATTAACCTCAACAAAATATTCTTATACTATAATTACAATTCTTATGTCTTTTTATTACTTCCTTTGAGCATTTAAGATCATTAATAAGTAAGAATTGGAAAACAGAATAGAAACAAAATCATAAAGCTCAGGACAAAATGTATAATATGTATGTAATTGATTTGACAAAAATAATCATCTTTTCATACTTTATATTAGGATCATAGTAGTTCTTATTAAATAAAAGTAATTTTAAAATAATTGTAATTGTAATTTAAAAATGTGGTTTATAACTATATATTTATGAATACAGTTACTATTTTTGATATTTTTTTAAAAAAAATTCATGAATTCTAATTTACTAATAACTCAAAACCTCAAAAAGCTTTATTTTCAAAGTCTCTTGAGTTTTGTTAGGTTTTCTTTAGGCAAAAATATTAGTTGCATTTTAATTATCATTACTTACTATATCCCAAGAACTCAAATATGATTGGCCAAACAACCACCTAACCAATTTCGGTGAAAGTTTTTTTATTTAAATTTTATATAATTATAGAATTCAAATAAAAAAAAGTTTATCTAAATTGCCAAGAAACTTTCGGCCAAAGTTTTGTTTATTTATGAGATAGACTTTGAGTGAAGGTTTCTTGACAACTACCAAACCAATTTTAATAAAAGTTTTTTTATTTGAATACTACACATATATAGAATTTAAATAAAAAAAAATTCATCGAAATTAGTTTCATGGTTGTTAAGAAACTCTTATTCAAATTTTAAAAAATTAACTTGATTAGTTTAACTTTAAGCAAAGGTTTCTTGACAGCTACCTAATCAATTTTGAAGAATTTTCTTTTATTCAAATACTACATATTCATAGAATTCAAATAAAAAATATCAGCAAAATTGGCTATGTAGTTGATGAAAAACCTTTGCTCAAAATTATGCTTAACTTAGTTTTTAATAGACTGGATAGATTTGCTTTAATTTTGAGCAGAGGTTTCTTAATAACTACGAAACCAATTTCAATAAAATGATTTTATTTGAACTCTAAATATGTATAAAATTCAAATAAAAAAAATTCTAAAATTGGTTAGGTAGTTGTGGAGAAAACTTCGCTCAAAAGTTTAAAAAAATAGAAATGTGTAATTAAATTTATCTGATTGGTCAAATAATAATCTATAACACATAATCCAGACTTTTTTTGTGTTATAACTAGGGTACTCCAAAATTTGCAGTTACTAGTTGACACATATAATTTTTCAATCACCACCAACTAAAAAATAGCTTATGTTGGCTCTTAATACAATTATTAATCAATTAATTGTTTTTATTATAATTAATATATATACAAACCAATAGAGCTATTTCTCATCTCTAATTGTTAGACTCATTATAGTAATTAAAGAATTGATAACATATTAACAAATTAACATAAAAATAAATAAACTTTAATATTTTTACTTGTTTCCAATTTTTCAATAATAATCATAAAATCACAGAATATAATTTCCTGAATCACATAACTTTTGACTGAATCACAAGAACTTACATTGACCAAAGGAAAAATAAATGTTGTTTAATAAACAGAAATAGATATAATGAGTAACTTATCCAACATTTAAAAATCCTAAAATGGTTCACAATTCAGCTATCTTAAATATCAATGAAATCGTAATCTTATTCAAATAGGATGCAATAAAAGTATAGAAAAAAAGTGACCAAACCTTTAAGCCCAGTGAATTAGTAAAAATTAATATTCCAAGCATTTGACAGACAAAAATAAACCATTGATCTTTATCTTGTAAAAGCCCAATTGTGACTCATATATCAAGTTGTTGCCAATTTGGGTAGTAGAAAATTGGTATTTAGCAAATGATTTCGAACCACTAAAAACTTTAAATTATCTTGGTTCTCTTAGATAAAATAATTTTATTAAACAAGCTGGATTTAAACAAAGGTTTTCTTGATCTTTAAAATATTGAAGAACTAATTAGTGAAAAACAGAAAAGTTAATTTAAATGTTGAAAAGGGTAAAAAAAAATTATAAATATATGTAAATTAATACGATTTATTAAATAATAATTAATTATATACTTTATATAGAAAAACCTAACTATTTGTAAATGATGCAACAATCATTTTTTCTAACTGAACAAAAGCTGTTCTAATGAAAATAACAAAACAATCAACCTAATTGTTGTTGTTGTTAAAGACAAATTGCAGCTCTAAATCATGTTCTTGTTGAAGGAATAATTCACTATGTACAAAATGATGTAGTTGCATTTTATGTAAAAATAGATTATTTTTTTATTTTTTCTTCAAATTTATATAACAGAGTATTAATAATAAAGCTATAAGCATTTCTGATTATGTTTGTATCCACATAAGGGTTTTTTATAAAAAAAATTTACCTGAGCAATAAATTTTCACCAATTATGAAATAGCGTATATTACTTTTAAATTTGTAAATGATATATATCACTTTCAAAGTGACAGAAATTAAAAATAACAAAAAACATATATATTTTTTACATTATAAGTAATCTCTTCTAAATGATTCAACTCATTATAAAGATATAGAATTTTCTTAATTTTTTATATAGGTTTCCTTATTAAGTACAGATACTCAGTAGTATACTTGCTCAGTGGTATGAA